AGTGTTTGGGTTTATTGCGAAAAATGCCTTCGAAAAACTAAGCAAAATATTAAGAAAACAGGAAAATTTCGTTGGAATCATATATAAGAGTATTCAACTGTTACGTAATATAAACCTCCCGATATGGCACTGAATGCAGTTATACAGGAGAAGAATAAGAATACTATAAATGGAATAAATAAGCAATGAAGAAGCTTTAAAAAAATAGGAAGGAAAAGAGATTTTTTACCTAGGATCAGAAAGAGACAGTTGAGACTTCTGGGATACATAATGAGGAAAGAAGGCTTGGAGAATTTGACATTCACAGAACATTGAAGATACGAGCGTCAGAAAGAAACGAGTAACATACCTAAATAGCTTGTGTAAATGGACCCAAATAGATAGTAAGAGGACAAATATTGCTTAGAGAATTAACAGATAAGATGTTGTGGAGAGCCATGATCTTCACGGCATGAAGAAGATTTGGAGATTATTTTTTCCAAAGAGCAGAAATGCTATAATTAGTCCTCTTTAACGTAACGTTTGGTCAGTTCATTCTTCCTATTTTTTTTTAAATTGTCAAGCATTTGCTGGTTGCAACAAAACGGGTTTGAAAAATACGTACGAGTGTAAGCAAAAGATTATCCGAACTTTACAGTGTAAACATGATCGCTACGTCAGCAGTGTGCACCAAGCAGGAGTAAAGGTCTGTAATCCGTATCTGCATAGAACATGTTACCTCATCGATGCTAACTCACCGGTTCGCCATTACCATCTCTCGCTTGCTGAATCTTCTTGTAAGTGGTGGCAGGTTGACTGGCGTCCTCCTCCTTCTTCATGGGTCACGCTTGTCCGGCCAGTTTTAAACTTCTCGATCCACTTATACACACTTCGAAGCGGAAGTGCACTGACGCTGTATTGTGTCAAAAGCCTCCGATAAATTCTGACACAACTTGTGATCAGAGAAATCGGGTTATTGTTCTTTGTTCTGCTTTGGTGTATACTGATAGCGGAGCGGCCATGTTTGCACTGTAACAGTAGAAAACAAACTGGTGCGATCAAGATCAAACATCGATCACGTGATCATGATACTAGCAATTATAAGCATGCATGAGTAGAAGGCAGTGTGAGAAACCTAAAGGTATGTTATGGCGAATGTTCTGGTAATTTTTGACTTAGCCTAGTATAATCTTAACCGATCTTTTAAAACAATGACAGCAAGAATTTATGTAGTATAAGATTTCCTAATAATTCATTTATAAATAAATGCTATATTCTGAGCGAACAATATATTCTTTATGTTAATAAAATAAAACATTTAAGAATTAATGCAATCATAAAAGTTGATATGTTTTGGCTATAAAATAAAGCCCTTCTAAATTAATGCCGACATATGAGTGAACAATATATATATATATATATTTTTACTTTGTCAATAAAATAAATGAATTCTTACGCCTTTCTGAGTTTTCTTTATTTCCCCGAAATTACGATTGTTCATATGCTTCCCTTCCATAGCATTGAGAGGAAGAAAAGATACTCAAATGTAAAGCGGATTTTTATTGGCCCTTCTAAAATGGAGGATGTTACAGTGATTCGGATAATTCTAAATTACCTTTGAGTGAGCTAAGATAATTCTTCAAAAATTGGGTTAAATGCAATTAATGTTTCGATAAACTGATTTATTTTCTGAATAAAAAGAAAGTAGAAAAAAAATATATATATAATCATGCCAGAGGTACACTTTAATATAAAATACGGACAAACTAACGCAACATCGTTATTAGAGATTTGTCATAATTTAATAATGTATGATATAGCACATCAAAAAAAGAAAAAAAAAGAAAAAATGAAAGAAAAAGAAAGGAAAAAAAGAAAAAAAAGAAAAAAAAAGAAAAGAAAGCATGCTGGCTTCTGTGAAGAAAGATATGTGAAGCGGATTTTTTTTAAATCTGAATTATGAAAAATGGGTTCCACATTAACTTACGGAAAGGAATCTAGGTCAGTGTTTAATGATTCGTCGGCTTTCTCGTTTTGCACGACACAGATAAAACGTGATCGCAGAATAAAAGATATTAATCGAAGTTGAAAATGGAATTCATCCAACAATAAACTAGATCCAGGTAAGTCCTCAGACTCTCTACCTAAATGGAATCATCTTTAGGATGTGAGAAATCATAGTTCTCCACAACTTCCTATTCTTTGTAACTCACAGGTTTTTTTTTTTTTTTGGCTTTTTTTTTTTACTTTTTATATTGCGGATTTTTTTTTTCATCAATTTACCCCCAAACAAGTCGACAACCCCGTTAAGAGGCAAAGCGACTACATGGACTTCAAGAAAACGAAAAGACTTCACATGGAACCAGAAACTCAATCTCAAACAAGAAACAAGGGAGGAAACTCTACTCCTGTTCAAAATACCGAGGCGGAAAATGAACCGGACGATAGGCGATCTTATCTTCTCCTCGTGAGAAGAAGAAAATAAATCGATAAATAATTAAGCAATGTAATTTCAGAGATCATGCGGGGATGTTAGAAGTTTAGTGTTGAAGAAGATTTTCGAAGGAACCGGAAACCTATTCGTAAACAAGAAACAAGGGTTACATCTCTATTCTTGTTACAAAGACCGGGAAGGAGTGTGAACCGGGCCATAGGCAAATCTATTTACTAATTGTTTTTTCCTTAGCCCAATACAAGCCTCGACTGCTAAACATAGTCACAAAACCAGGGGCTGGTGGTTACTTAGAGTAAAAATATCTGTCTGAGTGAAATTTCCTCCTAAAATTTATAATACGGGAGAAATGTGGATGATTCGACTCCGTGGAAGTAGCATGGTTCGTTCTAGCAGTAAAGGTCTAACTGGTGGAGCTAAGGAGTAGACCTCATCTGGACATTTTCTATGGAAATAGCGACCGAAGAGCAACAGTCTTGTAACGTTGTAGGAAAGTGATTACAGTGTGGAAAATAAGCCATCACCCATAAGTTCGCCTAACAAACAGATATCATTATAATATAGATTCTGATAATTTATATATCAGCAGGTAATCGTAGGTGAAGATCTAGTGGTAGTATGTATCTAAAGCCTTAGCCCCTTTTCTTTATATATGGATTGAAGCTGACAATCTTTTTTCAGCCTCGACAGAGTTAAAAAGCATTTACACATCTTTGAATCATTTTCCACCTTACAACCTCTTTCCCCACAGATGCAAAGTTGCAAGCCTATTCTATCGCTATTTCCATGAAAAATATCTATATGAGATACATTCTCTAATTCAACCAGTTCAGACCTTTACAGCTGAGACCCGCCAAGCTATTTACACGTGGCTAAATCATCTCTATTCCCTTTATATTCTATTAGTAAAAACGGAATTTCCATTCGGACAGCTTTTTTTTCCCGAGAACTGAAGCCTTATAGAACAAACTTCACCGTTAGTGCTTTCCTGAAAATTACAATTTTAATCCCTTCAAATCAAGAGTTAATCGCTATCTATCCCCCTTATCCACATAATCTTCAATTCCTTCAGCCTTCCCTTACGTTCATATCATTCAATGACACTCTTTTTGAAACATACTCTCGGGAGAGAATTCTTTTTCGGCCACTTCAAATCCAGGATCAATGTTTTCATTCTTACGTCCATAAAACAAACCTATTCAGTAAGGCTCTAACTTGAAAGAATCTTTGGCCTTGTACTAGGTGAACGATTGCGTAAAAAAAGACTCGTATATCACCATTAGCTTGAAGATTTAGTGCTCCATCGAATTTCTACTACATCAAACTTCGTTTCTAAAATATAGTGGCACAGTTCCAAGTGGACAGAATATTAGAGGCACAACCTTCAATTTCACATACTATTATTGTCCGTAGGTATGTTACAACACACAGAAGGAAAGATTAAAAAAATTTTAAATCACAGACCCAAAGAAGGTGAGTTCAATACCTGGTTAAGGCAGTGGAGAACTTTCAGAGGGAAAATTAGCAGGAGATAACTGACATCCATCAAACATGGCACGTGGAACTAGAACAGTCTACCCCAGTGATAGAAATAAAGGGTTCAGTTCGAAATTCCAACCACCTGAAGAAGGCCGGAGCGTACAACGGCCGAAACGTTGTGACAAATATGGCGACGAAGATGAGGACAATAGTCCGACTAATGTAAATACTGTACATAATACCTCATCTCAGAAATATAGACAGACTCTTCACGTTATGTATTGTTTCTCTTCAGAACATGAGCGATCATGGCTATCAACTATTTCCTAGGAAACTGCCCTTAAAAGTTTTTTTTTTTTTCATTTTACTATCCATTTCATTTCCTATTCTGCCATCCATTTACGCTTAAGTAGGCTATTCCCTAAACCGTTATGACCCTCTTGCCATCAATATGTACTGTGATTTTAAAATTTTCTAATCTTTCCTTCTGTGTGTTGTAACATACCTACGGACAATAATAGTATGTCCCCATTCACATAAACACAGTAGTAAATACTGTATGTTGGTCTTCAGTTAGAGATTCGTCTCCAGATGTGCTGCTCAAACTCACTGCCTTCGGGCAGAAAGGATCCCCAGACGAAGCAATGACGAAGGGCAAAGTCTCGTCTTGGGAAACAGCTACCCGACCCCGTTTTATACGGGGTCCACGGGGAAATTTTAGCCGAGCCTACGGTACTATTACTGTACTGATGCGGCATTCACCCTGGGCGGATTGAGCCGGCTTCTTCCTGTTATGAAAAGAAGATTCTTGGGATAAATTACAGAAGTAGGGTACCCAGGCCTACTCGGATAACGTTCTTGCTTGCCGCGGTGTTCCTACAGACGCAGAGACAGGAACGACCAGAAGCCACCGGTTACCGATGCAGACGCTCCTTGGATTTTCACCAGAGCCCTTGTTAGCCGGCGTGTGTGTCAGACCTGTCCGCCTTGGGTGGCCCTACCAGGAACGAAGTTCCAGGCGGCATAGCTCTGACACTACCGTTTACACCCCCCCATCGACTGTGAGGTAAGGGTTGGACTTGGGGGGGGGGCTTACAGTACCAGGTATTCCCAAGCGGTCCCCCATCTAAGTACTGACCTGGCTCTACGATGCTTAACTTCGGTGATCGAACGAGAACCGGTGTTTTAAGCCTACGGTCACGGATAACCAACCTTAATTTCGGCTTTGTATCATATCTGACCGCGTGGGGCGGTTTGTAGATATCCTGCAGTTAGAAATTCATAGAATTCACTTGACTCACTTTTAGCAGTTTACTTCTACGCTACGCTGGAAAATCTTATATGTGTTGTTCATGTCCTAAGTATTATCGTTCATTACCAAACCTTCGTGTGATTATCCTATTCATTAAGCTTCCCTAGGTTACAATCAACTGTCGCTTTATTTTTTAATTATGAGCGTCCTTTTTGTTCTCAATACTTTAATGTCTGACAGTCTTTAATTTTTTTTTTATTTGTTCGTTTTCTACGACATCCCCTGTTTCATTCTTCTTCCATTCGCAAGTTTAAAATAACTGCCTTGGAACTATAAAAAATTGAGAGTGACAGCAAGTCTTCTAAAATATCTATCTCCTTTCTTTAATAATCTGGATAGATTTAATATTTCCTTAAAAAAGAAGAAAAAAATTAAGAAGAGTCCAACATACGAATTACAAATTGGGAATGTCAAAATCAACTTAAGTATTTTCGGAAGTGTTTTAGCATAGGAAGGAAATTGTGACACCGAAATCTGAAGCGCATCGTGATAGCGAAAGATATCTTAAAAAAGATAAGCAACGTATTATGAAACGAGAAATTCTAGTTACAAAAAAAAAGACAAGGTTATCGAAGTATTATGCAATATCAGTCGTCTTGTATGGCAGTGAATGTTGGGCAATCTCCTCACAAATTAGGAAAAGACTTAAGGCGATTGACATGTGGTTCTACAGAAGGATGCTGAGAATATCATAGACTAAAAATGTGAGCAACGACGAAGCTTTAGAAAAAATGGAAACACAAAGGACACTTATATTTAACACTAGCAGCATGGCCCGGGGTTGCGCGTGCTTGATTCAAAAATCGTACGACATATACAGCAATCGCTAGCACTTGACTTAAAATATTTTTTACCCTTCATTGCCTTTAAAGGAGTGCCCTTTGCCGTGCTGATGTTGCTACATGCCTTCTTGCCTATCTCACACTGTGAATTTTTTCGAAGCTCTATACTAAACATTAAATCTGTTACGAAAAAAGAACTAAACAAAATGAACACAAAACGATCAGATTTAAAAAAGGACTCGTAACTGGAAAAACCGAATGAAAAAAGAATGTTAACAGCAAATACTTTTTCACACCCAACCCAGTTCTGCGGAATCAGAATCAACCTTGAGTTTAAGCAAGCGAATGAGCCAATTGGAGCAAAGTGCCATACAGATTTAAAATTTTTCCCACTTGTGACGAATGCAGCTATCAACTTTTTTTGCATGCTAGCATGCTAGTTAACATTCGTGTCAGTCAGCTGTTGGCTCTCACGCTGGCCAATAGAATCTTTCTGCCTATTTGTGGCAGCCAGCTATAGGCTCTCACTCTGGCCAGTACAAAATGGCCGCAAACTACATGAAAACTGCCGTAGAAGGATGAAAAAAATCGATTTTTTCTACTATCGATGGGAGTTGGGAAATGCAAAGTCGGTCTTGGCCTTTTCGCTAACTTGGAGCATGTGCATGTAAATTTTGGTGCAAATCCGTCGAAAATTGCGGCCGTGAATTCGTTACACACACACACATACACATACATACTGCCTTTTATAGATAGATATCAGAAAGAGGCAGCTGAAATTTCTAGGGCACAATGAGGCAAGAGGGATTAGAAAATTTGACGCTCACAAGACATATTGAAAGCAATGGCTGAGGAAAGCTGCGTACAACCTACTGAGGGAGTTTAACAAAATGGTTTGCAGAATAGGGATTAGTAGAGATAGTGAAAATTCAGAATTCACTAAGAGTTTCAAGGGAAAAGAAATTGTGAAGAGCCATAATATCATCCCTTCTGAAGGGACACAGAACATGGAAAAAGGATATCGTGTGAACTGACTTCGATGAATTTGACACAGAGATGCGAAATGGTATTCGAATAACTAAAGACGCCGTCCACAATTTAAACAAAGTGATCGAAAAATATCTATGTCATATCTCTTCTACTGTCAATCAATACTTGACAATTTCTTCACTGATGAAAATGAAGGCTTCATGTGAATGTCGTGTTCCACAGAATAATAATAAGAATATCTTGGACGGAATATATTGTAAGGAAAATGGACACATACAATCAGAGACAGTTGAAATTCCTGGTATATATAATAAAGAAATACGTCTCGGGAAATTTATTACCCACAAGACATACTGCAGACAAGAGTGACAGGGAAAAAACCTACCTAACAAGCTTGTGTAATGGATAGAAATCTATCTAAAGAGTTTTTCATGAATGGCAAAAAAATGACCCATGGGTGATTCGAGTAAATAAATTATGAAGAGTTATTATCGTTTCCGTCATAAGGCGACACATCACATAACATAACGCTTTCTTTAATAATCTGGATTTTATTCTATAATTCTCTACCTCGAGTGACTCTCGTGCCTCTCTCTATATATATCCTTCCTTTTTCGTGTCGTGTACCTTCAGGACGTGGGCAATCATGGCCCTCCCCAACTTCCTACACTTTGTAACTCTAAGCAACCTTTGTTTTCTTACTATATCGTACAGGTCCTTTTCTGCAATCCATTTACACAATCTCGTTTGGAACTGTAGAATGATGTCGAGACTACCATAGACTGAACAAGTAAGCACTTGAAAAAGCTTTAAGGAAAATAAGATAGAAAAAAAATGGCACTCGTACAAAGAATCCGAAAGAAAAGTTAAAATTTCTGTGACACCTAATGAGGAAAGAGAGTTTGGAAAATTTAACACTCACAGGGTACAATGAGGGCGAGAAAAGCAAAAAACATACCTAATGAATTTATGTAAATGGATGAGGGAACAGAGTCTACGACAGTAGATAAGTGTTGCTTAGAGATACAAAGTATAGAAAACTGTGAAGAGCTATATACAGACAAACTTTTGAGTGGACAGGGTAGATAAAAATAAAAAAAGCAGACCCCACGATAATATATCTTTATGTTGAAACATGAATAAAGCATGGAATAATAATAATACAACACAAAATGTACTTAAACAAAATGTATTGACACAAGAACGTGTACACAATATTTACAGATAGTTTGGTATATTCTTGGGAAGACCGTTCCTGTAGAATGGGTTGACTTAGTCGCAATCGGGCAGAGTCTCTGGATTGGATCTCTTCTTCCTCCCCCGTCTCCCCGGTAACAACCATATTTATATGGTCGGTACTCCACTATGTAAATTAGGTGGATCGTACCACAACACTTTACTTAATAATAATTCTAACACTATTTCCATGAAAAGTGCCCAAACGAAATACATTCCTTAATTCTACCAGTTCGTAAATGTCACGGCTAGGACCCGCCATACCACACACATTGTATCAAACCACTCTCATTATCTTTGTATTCCATGGGTGAGATGTAACCGAGGTGCTTTTTTCAACAAACCGACTCCCAAGAGGATGCTTACCCGGTCACAACAATTTTGGCGTGTTCAAGTCTAGAGTTAACCGTTATCTTTCCCACATTTCCCCGTAAACAGTGTATCTTATTCTATAATCCTCTACCTCGAGTGGCTCTCGTGCCCTGTATAGGGGAGGACCCCATTGTAAAAGAATTGAGGAATTTTGACGTTTGGATGTTTTTAATTTTCCAGAATTTCAGTTCATATCTTTAAAAAAAAAAAAAAGTCTCTTCAGGATACTTCCGTCTTGAATATGACGATAACCATCTGGCAGTAACTTCTCTGATTGGAAGGTTTGGAGAAGCGTGGAACCACTTTTTAATTGCTATTGTTCCCAGGTCCACCCTGACCCAGGATGGTAGAACCTGGTAGGTTTCCAGCTATGAGCAAATAGTTAATCCCTAAACTGGGGCCAAAACACTATGAAAGTATAAATATAGATTTTTATAGTAAAAATACCAGCAATACCTTTTGAAGAAAACAAAAAGATCATTCCAGCAATACATTATTGAATAAAATATATTAATACATATTCTATTTATACGAAACTATCCTAAAAATCTCGTCGACAAATAACACATCGAGATTGGTATGCTATAAAACAAAATAAACCAAACTAATTAGGATACTTCAGAGTATGCCAATAGTGATGGGTACGAGAAGCAATGTTATATTTTACTTTTCGTTTCATCAGTTCTCTACCAAAGTCCAGATAATTTTCTATTTTCTGATTTTCCTTCAGTTTTAGTCGGCAGTCTGCTGGAACAAGGAAATTCACAATCTGACAACACTTCCTTTTGTTTACTGGAAACTCGTTTAATTTTATTGTTAGTATCAACCCCATACTGTCCCTATTTCATTTACCATCTCGCTCACCCCACCTCTCTCTCTCTCTTTCTCTCTCTCTCTCTCTCTCTATCTATCTATCTATCTATCTCTTTTCTTTACCTTTTGCATTTGTTTCTCAGATATGTGTGTCTACATGTGCAGAAAATCGTCTCGAAGATTTTTATATGTGCGTATGTGACTCTATACCATTGTTCGATCGCGACTATAGATTTTACGCCTGCTTGTATTGGACTGCGGCAAAGTGATCGATAATTTTCATAGCATCAACACTCGAGTTTTCGAAAACATCAGACTTAGTTTAAATGGTATTGTGCTCGACTGGCCTAATCAGCCAGTGTGCTCAAGCTGAGATTGATGTGGTTTGAAAGAAAAATCCTCGGAGAAAACCACTGGCTGGGCGAATTTTAAGTAAATGACGGTGTGCTGATACTGAATAGGAGTTAATGCCAGAACTATAAAAGCATACTCGGTGTAAATTAAGCCTTACTGCACGCGGAGAGAAAAAAAATAGCATTGAAAAATAATAAATTGCAAATGGAGGAAAAAAAATGGCGGAAGGTAGGGAGGGTGGGAAGTGGAAGAACAAGGAACGGAAAAGATAATGATTGGAACAAAATCTAAAATGTTGTGGAAGGAAAAAGATGGATGGTAGGAAAGATAGAAA